AGTAACAGTTTTATTGTCAGATAACAATCCTAACCTGGGAAATGTTATTATAATTTACATGTTTTGGAGAAACTGTCGCTCAGAAATTAATTTTGGTTGGAAAAAAGTTCAGGTGTTGCACGATATCCAAGGATTTTCGCGGGCAGGATCTGGCATACATTCAACTCGTAAATAGGCTCTTCAAGCCTAGCCTTGCCTCTTTTTTCTTTTCTTTTAGCTGTTAAGACAAGAATACAAAGTATTTGTAGCTTGGTTAACTTTATTTGGTTAATGATTAAAAACATACTGTTCAAAAACACAAAATACTCATTAAGATTTCTTAAAGATTTTACTCAACTTCAGTTGTCGTCGGCTGTTCTGTGCTGCACAGGGGGCGTCCTTTAACCATAGATACATGTTGTGTTGGAATTTCGCCCAGTTATACATTGTCCATTTCCCTACAGTTAATTGGTATCTTCAGTCTGTTTTAACAAAGGCTTTTTCGGAATAATTCCAAGCACAGCGTTGATAGGGTGCGAATGCACTTCCATATCTATAGCAGAAAAAGTGACGAAGTTTAGGAGTTATTTTCGCTTACGTTAGTGATTAAATTTGATCTAAAACTGGAACAGGCAATCAAAAAATGAAGTATTATAGGAGAAAAGATGTAATTGGTCTGGTGTAACTCACCGAATTCGGGGAAATCGAGCATGGCCAACTGATTGAGACTTGGCTTTCATGATTATTATTGTGACGACTTTTATAATTTTTCATGATAATGTGATTAAACGACAGTAAAAAGATAATAATTTAAAACAAGGAACTTAAATATATTGTACAATTTTATTTAGATTAAACTGGTGACATACACAAGTGCCTCGATTATCCGCTGTTTATGTTATCCACGATTTTTGCTTTCCCTTTACCAGCGCAAATAATCGAGGCACCAGAGTATATTTATTTACTTTCACATTAACGAGTGCATGCTAACGATCACGTGATATCAACAACCACTTGATAGTATTGCCTGAACTAACTGCCTTTGGTCCCGTCTTGGTCTAAACACGCGCACTGATTGGTTGAATTGAGAGAAAGGGGGAAAAAATGGCGCGAAATTAATAACGTGTTGTGCAACCGCAGCGCTTCATTCTTGAAAAAAACATGAAGTGCTGAATCCACTATTAAGATCTTGGAAACAAAGTTCGATTTAGAACATAAAGAACGTGAAAATAGTTCCTGACTTGCAAGAATCTAGAACTTTTCTAGATTCGAGTTCTATTTAGCACAGCCCTACGAAAGAATAAAATGGGAGAAAATACTTGGCGCAATGATGAAGTTCCTAGTCGCCATGGCGACCTAGCGCCCGGAATTTGCACTAGTAAAAGTTAGTTTTCACTACCAGAGAGCAATTCTGATGTTTGAACTGTTGTTCTAGTAACTATTTTCACTATCAGATATCGTTTCTATTATGTTCGTATCAGAACTTATGAAACTTTTTTTTTTCTCCTAATTCTCCAATTGCTTACATATTTTTATAGATTGATTTAGTCTTCGTTACATTATATTGAATAATTATAGGTTTTTGTCTGTTATAGCACTTAGTGTAAAGAACTACCTGAAACAGATTGGGTGAAATTACTTATTTTACTCGAAAAATTCATAGGGATCCCCAGTGATAATTGTTAGGTTTAATTGCAACATTAATGGTATTTTGTATTCACATTTTCGTTTTCTGGTATACATGTTATCAAAATTTCTGTAATCAACAAATTCATTGACTCACAAACAAACCGGTGCTTAAACAGTGTAAAAATTTGTTTGGAAAGTCAATGAATCCATATAAACTTCATCAATAATTATGAAGTTAATGATTTAGCAGTCTTCTAAAATGTTTCCAAAAGGTATATTAATGTATAAGTATAGAAGTAGTGACATATTGTTTTTTTACAATGCTAAATAATACATATGAAAAGTGGTTTAGCTATGCATGCTTTAGTATGGCACTCTCATATGTAAGTAATAATTTTTCTGGAGAATATGGAATTCAGAATGGGTAATTCTGTAAGTATTTAACACATAATTATGGTTACCGGACAGTTTCTTTAGCTGTCAGTTGGTTAAAACATCTTCCTGGTAAATAGAACCTTGGGTTTGAAATCCATCAGATCTTAATTCTCACTTCTTTCAGAAAAATATATTTAACTGGTGGTTGATCTAAACTCTAAAATTTTTATTGTAGATTCAGCTTCAGTACTTTCCATGCATCTCTTCTTGATTTCCCAGCTTTGATGCTGACACTGATTGGTTGTATTTGTTCGTCTCAAGCTGAGTCAGTAGTTTTAAGGATGTATGAACTGCCAATTAAAGTAGTGTAGTTTTCAGAGAGACAATAACCAACTTGAATATCTTTTAAGATTAGTAAATATTCATTCACACAGAGTCTAAACAATATACACATATATATTGTGACCATTCTATGAAGTACATTGTTCCTTTTAGAAAATGAAATGTAATAGCTTCAACAGTTTCTGACAAAAAAGTTCTTAAATAAACATGACTTGACAAAGGTTTTATGTAATGAAATCCACTTTTATTATAAAAAACAGTGTGTCTTTGGACTTGTAGCTACTATTCAGTGAAGAAACCATTAGCTTATAATTAATATGATCATTTTGTGTCTAGAATCATCTAGAATTTGTGAACAAGGAGAACATCCCAAACATTTTTGAAGGAGATAATACAGAAAATACATCTTCTCAAGATGGTGGCCTACCTAATTTCCTCGAAAAAAGACTGAACTCAGATTCACTATCCAGTGGCTTTGATGAATTCAACCAAGATACAGTTAGTATATGAATAGTGTTTTCCTTATAATTACATCATTTGTTTGTCACATTAACAATAAAAAATTAATTCTTGTAAAACAATAATATGGTTTTAGATTAGTATACTTAATATTGTGAAAATACTTAATTGTGAAATGACTGAAAACAAACTCCATTTTCCTTTCTTTATTAATATTATTCATGTGTACAAAAAGCTCATGAAATTCTTTATTAACTGAAGTTATATTAATTCTCATTACAGTAATTTTCAACATATCAAATTTGATAATTATCATCCTAGTATCATAAACTTTGATTAAGTTACTGTTTTGTATTAAGCATGTACTTATCTCACATGACTAACCTTTCAATCTCATTTCAAGTTTCATAGAACCAATCAGAGGTAATACATTTTATAATATGTTCACATTTCAACATTAGTGGTTAGTGTTATAGTCAACTTACACTTCACGTAGAATACACACCTTCATCTGCCCTCTAATGCATTAAAAAGTTTTTATTCTCACTTGACTCACTAGCTCTCTCAGTTCACTCTCAGTTCAAGCTACTCATTTAGCATGCACAGCACATGTGGTGACCATCCACCAATAGGAGCACGACACACACTCCTGGAGCAGCTGGCTCCCTCTGTATTACATTTCATGTACCTCACTTTCTCAATTGGCACCATATGAGTTGGACATGTTTCTCACTTAATTTCAGTTTTCAATACTGATTACACATGATTTTTTTTAATTTGTGTGCTTTCATTCTATCTTGTATTATGTTGTGATTCACATTTTGATTATCTGTTTCACACACATTATTGTGTTTTCTACATTTCATATTTCTCGTGATTTCCAACACAGTTACTGCTGTTTGTGGAAACACACTTATTTTTCTGACCCAGGCCACGGAATCGACATTGTCTGCTGAAGGGGTATGTGCCTTCTTTTATCGAGTGTTCACTTTCTCCATGTGGCCTGGACCTTCTTCTCTATGATGGTCAAGATATATTCTGGCTTTTCTGTATGCTTGAGATGTGGATGATTTCACTAATTTTATTTTTCTTGATCCAGTTGCTGTACTGCCAAGTCTTTCGATTTGGTGGAGGTCTGTTCTTCTCCTTCTTTTCTCCTTTCAGCTCCTCCAGTGGCTTGATGGTAAGTATTTCGACTCATATGTTACCAACCACATTGCTATACCCATGATAGTGGTGCCCATTGTGTGGCTTTGTCCTTATTTCCACACTTGTGCATTCAGCACTTCATGTCATCATTGTTCTGAATTTGGTATGTTGGATATTTCTACGTACTTTTTTGTCTACGTCATTTTTGATGGATTGTTGGCTAGATATTAGTTGGTACTTTGTTTCCTTGGTATATTTAGACAGTTTGTAAGTTCAATATTGTTACTTCCTTTGTTGACTAGATACCTTTTCGACAGTTTTTCATTTTGATATTAATTAGTACTTTGTTTACTAGGTATCTTTAGTTCATTTATAAGTTCAATATTACTAGTATATAACTAGTACTTTATAGTTATCTCTGTAATAGTAATGTAATTATAATACTTATAAATAGTATTCATTGTAAATCAATAAATAAATACATAAGTAGTAATTTATGGTTATCTCTGAATTATTTGTTTTATAATCAATGTTCAATATATGACTTATAATCCTCATCTTAGTAAGTTTATTTACAATTTGTAGGGCTGAGCTTTGCTTTGGCTCCAATTCCTCACTTTTTAAAATACTAATCACCAATGCTTCTCCACGTAATCTACATTTTGGAGTTTGTTCCCACAGAATCCACATCATAATTAGTTCTTTCTTGGTAGCAGTTAGTTAATACTCATATTATTCTGTTGTTTTCTTACTCCCTTCCTACTCCTTACTTTCCTTTTATCTTTTACTTGCATCTTGACATTCTCACCCCTTTACCTCGGTTTTCCTGAGTCCACCTTGGACATTGACTGTGATATGGATCTCTACATGGTGGGGTCAAATCCTGTGGAGACTGTGTTTCTCTGTTTGTTTGCCATGGGTTTTTCAGAGTGTGGATCTATTCACTACCAAATACCATCTCCTAGTATTTTTTTAACCATTCCTTTCTTTCCTTCATGTAATCCTTTTTCATGCATTTGGTTGCCCTCTGTCAGGTAACTTCCTTGGATGATGTATGGGGGCCTGTCATTGACCTCTCCTGTATGCTTCAGCTTCTGGTTCCTCTTCATTCCACCTGGGTGTTGTTTCTGTCCCTTCATAGGGTTTTCAATCCTTGTCTGTGGGTGTCATTGTTTGATATATTAGTTGCATCCTTCCCTGTCTTCTTTCGGTTGCACATGGGAGGGGGATAATTTTCTGTTCTGGGCTCTTCACTCATATCCTTTCTCTTTTTTCATGAATAGTCATGAACTTCATTGGACTTCTACCAGTGTTAGTCATTTAATCTCATCTTTCTCAGGACGACTTGTGTCTGGCTTCTTCCTGTCTTCAGTCCACAACAGTTTGCTGCTAGAAGAGGCAAATCATGTGATTTGGTTATTCAATATGAGGGATTTTCTCTTTTTCCTGTTTTTGGTTCTCATGGGGTATTTTTTCCTTTTCCAACATCATTTGGTCACATCATTCTCTGCTCGGTATTTGGTATATGGATCATTTAGTCTTCAAGGCCCTTTTCTCTCTTTCCTGGCTACCTCGAGATGTTCTATCTCTTTTGGGGATTTGGGATTAATTGGTTGCTCTCATACCCATCCATGGCATTCGCTCATTGTCTTTGGTGGGTATTCCTCGATTGATGGCACCTTTGCTCATATTATTTTATTCTGTCCATCAATCCAATGTTTGGAGGTAGGACACCAACCATTGTATGGTGGATGGTCCTCTTCCACTTCCTTCTCATGTCTTCTGTCTTTCACCTTTGTTTTACGACTTTGGGGCTCTGACTTCTGAGCCCACGTACATAGGATACTGCTCTTGTCTGGCCTTCTTTCCTTCTATTACGAAGCACCCATATTTGTTTCTCTATTACAACAGTCCCTCCACCTACTCAATGTGGGATTTTAGCTGTTATGTGAAAAAAGGTATGTATCGTAATGGAATTTATCATTTTCTTACACTGAAAATAGATTTCTTGTAGATACCTCTCTCACATACTTCCCACCCTTCTTCCCCACTTTCTGTGATATTATGTTCCTTAGGTGCCTAATCTCGAAAATGAAGTACTTGTAGAATAATACAGAGAGAGCCGGCTGTTTTAGGAGGGATTGTCATGCTCATATTGGTGGAGGATTGTGGCATGCTCTATGCTTGCTAAATAAGCAGCCCAAACTTATGGGGTAGAAAGGCTAGTGCATCAAGTGAGAAAAATTTCTTTTCAAGGCATTAGAAGACAGTAGAAAATCGAGAAAAGCTTTTATATGAGTAGAGGTAAATATCTATCGAAAATCTATTTTCAATGTAAAAATATGATAAAATTCATGTTTTTACATTTTTGACAACCCATGAGGGTCTGACATTCCTCAACAGGAAACATCCACTACTACAGTGGCAACTGGAGACACTGACTGTCACTAATGTTACCACAAGTTGCCAGTTCTAAACTATATGAAGATTGCATGCTGCTACAGTGAAGACTTGAATCAGACTTGATCCAGAAGTGAATCCGATTAACTAAATGATCTTGAATCCAGAATTCCCAATCTCTTAATTCTATCATTTCAACTGAACATACCCCATCATGAGATGAATTTGCCCAACTGTTTTCATGCCTAATTTTGCTACTGGTTCCCCCTTCCTGATGAGGATTGGATAGTCTTACCTTTGTCTTTCACTGTTTGGATTACACAGGCGTCTTTTTTTTTTTACTCTTCTTCATTTGTTTTTTGATGATTCTCACTTACTTGAATTTCTTCATTCAACTTATGCATTTTCTCA